CACAATGGCCATAATGGACCTGGCAACTTTTCTCCTCCTGTGACCCTGCTGCCATGGGTTTGGGTCTAAAGCTGGAGGCACCTCTGGCACAGGGCATCCAGCACAAGGGGCAGAAAAGGGAGGCATTAGCTTCTTGGAGCATAACACGACCCGGAGAGTTTCTCTTATGTGAGCAGAATATTGAAGACAGAGGAATATTAATCATTTTCCCCCTGTGCCTCAAAACCCAGCGATGCCCACCTGGAAGAAACTGCAAACATCACTTCAAGGATTTACCCGGAAGACCACCTCTCAATGCCGAAGAGTGAAGCCACGAGCCATCCTTCTTCAGATTTTAACAACTATGCAAGCAATTAATTTGAGAGTGCTCTTGGCTGACGACGCCACGACTGAACTTTAGGCAAAGAAACTTCCAAGGGCAAAAGGATATCTGGGAAGGGAAACAGAGCCAGGATGCTAGAAAGAAGTGTAATTTAATACTAATCTTTTGTTAAATATGTTTGCTGGGGAGGCCCGAGGTGCAAAATGTCTTAGCAGGAGGAAGATGTGAAGGGAGAGATTGTCCAAGTGGGCTCAGCAGTGGCCCTCTCTGCCGTGGGCCTCTCAGTAGGGAGCTGTGAAGGCACAAGCTAACGTGGAAGTCTGTATAATCGCTCTATAGTTCCTGAATTAGCAACTGGAAAGCCCATGCAACCTCCATAGCCTCACCCTTGCTCTGACTGCCTCCAGTGATGGCACAGGGATTTGCATCTTGCAGTGATGGGGAGCAGGCACAGACTGGACAGGCAGCAAACAGAGGGCATCTTTGTGCTCATGCTTGCTGAAGCAATCCCACTGCAGTGCTTTGCCCACAAACCTGCCATAAATAGACATCGTTTTCCAAGCTGGGAAAGCTCTTTGCTAACAAAAATGAAGGGAGCAGTTCTGCTGAGACGGCTGGGTTGGAATTGCAATTATGAATGGCAATAAGTAGGTTTAGCTTCTTCCCCCCAGACATTGCCCCTTCCTCACAGTCGTCAGTGATACCCAGACCTGGCAGTAAGGCTACAAGCTTAGAGAAAGCTGCTCAGGATCTGTCCTGGGCCTCAACTGAACCAAGGACTTTGCAGGGGTGCCGGGGTTTGTGGTACCAAAGTCTAGTCAGAATTGGAGCCCGGTATTTTATTTTACCCCTCTACTAGCAGATCACCATTAGCACCGGTAGTGAATCAGAAGCACCGTCAGCAAAGGCATAATTGTCTCCAGTGTTATGTGAGAGGGAAGCCAGTTTACTTATTCTCAGCAAGTCTGTATTAAGGACTCAGCAAAAGGGGGAAAAATCTGCTTTTAGAAAACTGACAATAGTTTCTTTAACATTACACGCCTGGAACTAATGCAAAGAAACTCTTAGATGGCTGGTTTAATTCACAGCACACCCCGTCTATTCTAGGGAGCTGAGCAATTACCTTGTTACAAAGCATGGAACATGCAGTATTTTAAAAGGTATAATTATAGGAGACTTCAATGGGATTGAAAGGTATAGCACCTCCTGAAAGGCAAAAGTGAAACAAGGAGCTCTTGGCAATGGCGCATCTGGTGTTGGGTTCATCTGAGGCTTGGGCAGAGTTGGCTTGAATAATTCAGTTGTGTATTATGTACTGCTCGCTGTGTAGGGCCTACATGAAGGTAGCTGCTGTACATTTTTGCAACATGCACCCAGCCAGAGGCTGTTCTGAGATTTTGCTGTTTCTTTAACCGCCCCCTCTAAACAGAACCTGGCTGGGATGATTCTGGGAAATAATAGGAAGGAAAAAAACAAAACCAAACGAATCCACAAAGAAAATGCAATATTTTAAAATGATCACGAATAGTTCTGATCGTGTGTGTTTTTTGAAATCTCACTGGTATAGAGTCAAATAGCAATCTTATTCTTTGCAGTGTTAGAATTCACACTGCTACTCTGCCTTTAAGGCACCTCTGGCACATCTTCAACAGGACCCTCGGTTTTCAGTGCTGTAAAAAGGCACAGCGATGTGGGGCGGCACACACCACAAATGCCTTCTAAGAGCGCTGCGGCAGGAAAAAGGCAGCTCTTTCCCCAGAAGGCCATGCCACTGCACTGCACACCAACCACAGGAGGCTCAAGGCAAATCCGGGGGAATCGTCATGATAAGAGGTGCTAGCAAAATTGGATGCTGAAGGACAGAGGAGCGTCTTCCATTTAGGACTCTAGGAAAGAACGGTTTCCTTTTTGGTCTTGCTACATCCTTCATTTGCATGCTTCATTTAGCTCATATGCAGCTAAATGAAGCATACAAGATACATCCTGCATCCTTCACATGGTAAACGTTTTCAAACTTCATGCACGCCAGCCCTGGACCAGGACTACAGGGTTTGGGTTCTCAGACTTGATTCAGACTAGAGCTACTGGTGTTCAGGCCCCAATGGCCAGACTGATACCTCGTAAGTAAAATAAAGAGGCACTTAGTTATCTCAGTGCTTCAGATCAATCCTATTCCATGCTGCTCAAGTCCCTGGGAGATCGCTGGTGTGTCTTCTTTTCCGATATGCCTTCACCTTAGCCTGAAGACTGTGTCACAATAAACACTACAGACCCATCCATCCACCTTTTTGTGTCAATGTTTTTTCAGGGACTCTAGCGAGGTGAAATTAGGCATCTATGTGCAATCCTAAGAAAGTACCACTTTGATGCCTGCTAGGTGGAAGAGGCTAGGACTCAAGAACAGAGGCCCCCAGAAGAGCACATCCTCTGAAGGCATGGGGCTCAGTTTCTGGAAGCAAACACCATGTGCATGGAACGGGGAAAAAACATCTTTTCTTTCCTTTTTCTTTCTGGGTGAGAAATACTGACATAACACCCTATACATCTATCTAAACAGATCCTTGCACATCAGTTGCAGCAGCTTGGCTGCATTATGATCTTTGGATTATTAAAATACAGTTCAATGCCAATTCCTATGTCAGTGGGAATTTGTTCAATTAATCCCCTAGCAATTGTGACATAGGCATCGCCCCCCCTTGGATCATACCAGTCCCTCACTTGGCTCTTAATCCTGCCTCTGGCAGAAGTAATTGCTGCTGAGGAAAGTTCAAGAAATCCCATAAAAGCTCTTATAGGACAAGTGGGGAGAAGTGCCTGAAACTAGCTAGAATTTACTGAAGCGTGGAGGTCTCGATGCCTCCCAGAATTTGTCGTCTTCCTTTAATCACTCTGGCTGTTTTCCTTAGATAAAGCCAATCCTTCCTTGAATACCTCTTTTCCACAATACCTTGTGGCAATGAGTTCCACAGGTTAAATTGGGTGTCATGCAAGTACTTCCTTTGCCCTCTATCAATTTAAATTGCATCCCCTTACTTTTATATTCCCCAAAGGCAGATAGGAATTCCTGATCTTCTTCCTCTAAACCATTCCCTGTTGCAAAAGTAGAATAAACTTATTGAATAAAATGATTTCCTTTCATCTAGGAACATGGGTAGGGGACTGGCTGCAGAACAGAGAGGGTTTTATTTAAGTTCAGTCTTGCAAAATGCTTATACACTTGTACAGTCGTAGACACAAAACCTCCTTGTTCACCCGTTACCTTGAGGAGAACAAGTATAGCTTTTTGGCCTTTTTGTCCGAAACAAAATTAGCTCCCTGGGACAAGCAGACTTTTGCATGTCTGCCTAAAGAGCTGAGTAGATCACGGAGTTAGGCACAAACAGCATGAATGAACGTAGTCTGGCTGACAGTATCTGAAATATCCAGTTTTCTTGAAATGGTTTGATCCACTGCAGTAGGATGAAAAGCGACAATATTGTCTTTATTCAGTGGCCAGAAATAGCCAAAGTGTTTCATCTCACAATGGAAACATCAACTAACAGCAGTAGGACAAGGTTTCCTTGTGCACTACAGCCTACAGCAGCTGAGCTTCTGCCTCAGCAGCCATGGGGAAAGGTTAATAATAAGGAATTTTACCCCAAAAATATAGTCCATAGACTTTCCTGTGTTTTTTCCTATGACTAAAGAAACACACATTCCCATAGGAACTGATGGGCCAGATCCTGATCTCCATCACACCAACATAAACCTGGAGTAACTTTACCAAAGTCTGAGCTATAACACTGGTAGGATGCAATCTAGTCCTACGTATTGAATTCAGTTTTCCAGAGGGTGTCTTAGAGACCTAGGGGGGTCTGCAATATTTGAAACAAAATACACAACATGCTATGCATACAACAACACGCTGCACTAAACCCACCGCTGTCCTCCATCCTTCAAACTATGTCCCACCCAGGTGCCAGAGAGGAGCTAAAAGAGGTTTGGAAAGTTCAGAAATCCTCCTTGTTGTATGCACCAGGAAATCTTACATGGCACTGAGGGCTTGGACCTGCAAGATACTGGAAGCTATCTCCAGGTACTCAGCACCTGAGTCTCCTGCAGGATAGTGCACCTTTGCCTTTTGCATATGCCAGATGGGCTGTTTTTCGGCTGGAGCTTCTCTCTGGAAGGCTGGAGAAGTAGAAGAACTCCTCTGTGAAAATGAGTCCTCCCCTTGCTCCACCTCCGCTCCCCTCCCCCAGATGTGGATGCCCCCTGCCGTACAACACTCACATCGATGCCGTCCTTGCCAGGTGGTCCAGGGAGTCCTTTTGGTCCAGGAGGGCCTCGTGGTCCTGCTCTCTGGGAGAGTCGGGGGAAAGAGAGAGATTTTGCATTAGAAGAGCCCAGCAGAGTGGGTGAGAGATCACAGTGGGAAAGTAAAAGCTCGGGATACGGGCAAGGATTTTCCAAGCCTCGCACGTTAAAAATCTGAGCACATCTTCTGCACATATGGGACACCCAGCCCATCTCCTCTGGATAGGAGCAAGTCTACTGAACTGAAAAGCTTACGGCAATTTTATTTGCTCTTGTCCCCATGTCAGTTTGGAAACAGGCAGGGTCCCTCGAGGAACTCAGTTTCCTAGGGTCTGGCTTCCTAAGTCCCAAACCCAGCTTGCACTGGAGACACAAGAAAAAGGCATGGCCACCTGCGCTAGAATAGCATGCGTACACATGGGCATGTACTCGGCGGTCAAAGTGAGCCCCTTTCTATGGGGGACCAGGCGGAGAGAGAGCTTGCAGGGACAGCGTGCAGAAAAGCAGAGCTAAACAAACCATTCTGGGGTAGTTTCTTCTCTAAGCCAGACAGAAGTTTGGCTTTTTGGAGCAGGGGTTGGGGGAAGAGGGTCTCTACAAACGCCTGCTCTGTGGAAATGACTCCCAAGAGTAACCTGCCATCCAGCTTCAGGGAACAAAGGTTTCATTGTGGAGCCAGTTCTGCTCCCAGCAGATGAGGGTCGGCTCCGAATTCCTGAGCCAGGCTGCAAAAATTCCTTCATGAATGCAATGCAAAAACCCACATGGAAAGGTTTTCCCGAGTGACACATTAGAGAATTAATGCCACGATCAGGGCGCTTGCTATGAATGCACATAGTTTCAAATAAGGATCCAATGTGCTTTTCCTAAAGATGCTTTAAAAATAGACCAACTAAGGGAAAGAGGGGGGGAAAAAAAATCTCTGAATAAGATGAAGAGCGAGATGACATGAGGTGTTTAGTTTAGTGAGCAAGATGGTACTGTAAAGTAAAACAAAACTGCTTTCCTTGGGTCAACACTGTCTTTTATCTGGGAGGTTTTCTTTGCAGTGATACAACTAGGAGGATGGCTCCTGTAGAGACATTTAAAAAGTAGCAGGGTCTGTTTCCTGCCAACGTGAATGCAAACACTTTTTCTCCTACTGCAAGGCACCTACAGACAGAAATGCCCAAGCAGTATCCTGTCTTTAGTTTTAGACACAAACTTTAATAAGATGTGCCATAGGACATGCAGCGCACTTCACCCTGCAGCTCTGTAATAGTCTTGCTTCTTGATGCAATTCTCATTGCAGTGGCTGGTGGTTTTGGCCCTTTGGATGTAAAAGAAAATTCTTACCTGAGCTGAGGATGTGGCTAATAGCTGAAAAAGAAAGAGCAGCCCCAGAACTGAGAATCCAGCCATGGTCTCCAGGCTCTGTCCCTTCGTAGCTCCTAAACCCTTTCTCTTCTCTTGGTTTCAGCAGCTCCTTCCTTCACCTCCTGGATCTCAGCTCCCAAATGAGTCCCCTCTGCCTCCAGATAAACCCGAGTCTCCAGCTGGAGGGGGCAGAGCTCGGGAACACAGGCAGGCGAGAGGGGCTGAGCTCGGAGGGAAGGAGAGAGGCAGAGAAACCAGGTTGCAGGAGGAGGAGGTGGGGAAAGGAGAGGGGCCAAACTGCAGAGTGGCAGGCAGTCATGAAAGGAGGCACGCAGCCTCCTGCCAGGAGCCAAGAGGGAGGAGACCCTTTGAACCAGGAGAGGGCTGGACTTGCCCCAGCCCACGTGGCAAACACCTAAGGAGATAAAATGAAGATCCCTCTTCTCGGGATACTTAAACATCCACTTGGGCTTGTCTGGACCAGATGCAAGTTGTTTGCGATCCACTGCTGCAGCTGGAGAAGTGAAGGGCAGCAGAAATGAAGATTTACTCAACACCGGTGGCTCTTTTATTTCCTGAGAAAAATGCATGGCCCCTGCAAAGGGGCGATAGCAAAGGTCCTTACTTCCCTCAGTGCTTTCTTAGCTGTGAATATGTATCTAGCATCTTTATTTTTACTTGGAGCCTCAAAAGAGCATCTGGTTTGTGGTGTGGGGATGTGCTACACCTGGTACTGAAAGGAGAGCCACAGCAGCAAAGACCAAGGAAAAGCCTTAAAAAGTAAAAAGAAAAATCCAGACCTGCCTTTGACATACGTTTGCAACAGGAGCATGACGTGGAGACGACAGCTCTTAGGCCCTCCCTGACGTTAGCATATGAACAGTGGTCCTATATGTTTTCCTGCATCTGCTAAGGAAGATGATTTTCATCCAAAGAGGAGGACTGCTGGGAAGAGGTGGAAGCAGAGAATATCCACGAGGAAGAGAAAAGTGTTGAGACCAGGGGAGCGGTGCAGCTCATTTTGATGCAACTGTATCATTGCCTATTCCTCTTTTTTCCATTGACACCAGAGGATAGTCCCACCTCGCTGGCCCATCCGCTGTGTCTACTACACATCGCTGGAAGAAAGCACAGGCAAGGGAGCTGGTGGGGCGGGAGAAGGAGAGGTGCAAAGTTCTGCCAGAACAGAGACCGTCTTGCAAAGCGGAGAAAGCGAATGCACCGCTTAGCGGTAGCTTCCTAATGCAAACGTTTGCTCTCCAAGAGAGAGAAGGGGGCAGACAGGAAGCTAGCCTGACATTTCTGTCTCTACCTGGCGCAGCCAGGCGAGGTGCTCGGTATTAGGAGAGGCAGGGAATGGCAGGTCTATGCTTCTCGTCCCAAGAAGGGATGTCTGGAAAGAAAAACAGAAGCCAAAAATGTGCTTCCTTGTCTTGTCAAGCCATAACTCTAGCAGGGACCCAAAGGCAACAGGAGCGGTCCCTCCAGCCATCCCGGCATGTGTTTGGAGCAAGACACACAATTCGGGGAGCTGCCAAGCTGCAACAGCCCAGTGTAGTTCATAGTATGATCCTGAGGTGATGAGGCCTCTTTGCTGGGCAGCTCCAAGCGCTCTGCCATGCTCCCATGCTGCAAGGTGAGGGAGCTGGAGGCTTGAGGTGCTGGCACGGACAATATGTTCTTGAGATCGTGGAGCAAGTCCACATGGGGCACATTTGCCTCTGAGCGCTGCTAGTGCCTGTGCAAGACCGGAGAAAGGAGTGCACAGTGCTGCTGTCAGATCCCACTCTGCAGGCCATACGGGGGAAGCAGAGCATTGCAGGATGCACGTGCCCAAGTGTGCCAGGAGACAGGCTGCTCGCATGGAAAGCAGCGTTCACCGCACATTACCATGAAACACCAGATTGGCACCAGAAACGGAAGCTGCTGTCTATCTTAGCACAGGTGTGGGCAGCCCAGCCCGCTACCAGGCACACGTTGGGAACAGATACTACCGCACCTCCACAGTGGGGACGTTAGGAAATATTTAACAGGAGCAAAAGAGGAACCCCTCCATTTCTCACAGGGGTATGTCATGGCTTACACCAGCAGTGGAAGCTTCCAGCTGGGTCCCAATGGGTAGATGGGATTTCACCTGCAATGACACACCGTGCTGCCAACTTCTCCGCTGACCTTCACCTTCATCCTCCCAACATCCAACACTTTTCAGCCACATTTTGCCCCCCCGCCGCACACCCAGAGCAAGTCTTACCCTTGGACCCAGTTCCTTCCCCCTCGCACACTGTGCCCTGGAGCCCTTTCACACAACTGCATCTGCCACCCCACAGGCCAGCTCCCTCCTTGCCGCCACCCTGGCTGCCCACCTGTGCTACCTCCATTGACAGGTACAGCAGTAGAGCTCCTTCCCTTGGGTTGCTCCATTACTTCAGAGATATTCAGGGATTTAGGATACTTGCACTCTCGGGCACATGATTGGGTTTATCCAAACCTGGGGGATGGGGACGAGAAGCCCAGCTGGCTCCATGTAGAGTGGGAAGAACAAGGTAAAGAGATTTACTGGACTGCGATGGCAGAGAAAGGGAGCGGGACGGAGACAGGACAGGCTGAAGACCGGGTGTGCACGTAGACAGTGCAGAAGCAGAAGGGCCTGTGGCCACACTAGACGCATGCTTCTTCCAAACTGGGGACAGAACCCAAAATACTTGAGGCTCAGAGCATGTCAAACACATTGCATTAGCAAGCCTCCTCTTCCTTGCCGGATGATTCACTACCGCAGCTCCTAGCAGCGATTCCTTTCACTCAGCGCGGCAGAGACCTGCACTGGCTTACAAAGCACCCAGCTTGGCAATGACTGTAGAACATATTGGATTTATCATTTTATTTTGGGATTTTATTTTTGGATAAAGTTTATTCCCCACCCCCCAATTTTCTTCTTTAAAAAAAAAAAAGCAAAAAGAAATCACACACACCCTTCTGTTAAAAGAAAATGCTGTGGGAGGTTTCTCTGTCAAAAACTAGTGTGAGATTATGCAATTAAAGACCATTTTAATACATATGCAAATGGAGCCAATTTCAGTTCATCTGTGCCACAAATGCTAGTATTTCTTAACTTTCAAGCGCTCGACTTTGCAATGGAAATACCATTTTGGCAAGGGGGGTTGTGTGTGCAAGGTATGCTGTGCCCTCTCTTGGAGTAGCTGGAGAAGTGATCGTACCCAGATACGGATAAGACCCTCAGGCACAAGCGGCGGCATCTTTCTAGATAGTTCTTGTAACAAGGACATATAACTTACTAGATCACAGTAATCTTACTAGATCACTCTTTACAGCCCTCCTGTACTAGAGGCAATGCACATTCCCATGCTGGAGGCACAGGGAACAGGCAGCATCCTCAAAAGAGCTAGTGGCAGTCTAGGAATTTCATCCCGATCCCACCAAATCCCTGTCCAGTTCTTGAGATGGAAGGCAATCTTCTCCCCCTTCCTAATATAGTGGGAGAGAAAATTCCCCATTGTCTCAGCAAGCAGTCTGGATAGAAAATTACCTCCATAATACATGCACGCTTGTTTTGTAACTTGAATTTGCCACGGCACAATGGAAAACTTGGACCAGGCGATCCCTATCCTCACTGCAATCAGAACAAACAAAATGTTAAATTTTGAGCTCCATTAGAAAGGATGAATTCCCTTTTTTTGTTTTCTATTGGGCAAAAAACTAGTTATATTTCCTTCTAGCAGAACCTAAAGAACAAGACTAGTTAGGACTGACCCATGTTTGTGTAGCCCTGCCAAAAGTCCAAAGACACCAACATTGCTGAAATGTAGGTTCAGATGAGCAGAGGGTTAGATGACGGTGCTACTCATTTTCTTTTATCGACTGCTATGGATTGGAGGTTTGGAAACCCCTTCCACCAACAATTCAAACTCACAGGGAAAGCACTTCCAGAAGGCTGGAATAGGTGCTATTTGTTAGCTGCTTGTCTGGGGCACAGCTGTTGCACAAGGAATACTATCATCTGAGCACAGTTACTATCCTGGAGAAGACCACCAATACATGTTGTAGGTTTGGGGTAGGTAAGTAGAAACGGAGAAGGATGAGAGGAGGTAGGGTGTGTCCACACAGGTGAGAAGGAAAGCTAGGAAAACAGTGGGTTAGGAAGCCAGAAGTAATTTTAGAAGGCAGCAGATTAGCAGAAAGAACAAAGCACCTGGATGCCTCCCACCAAAGGGGACATTAAGTGGAAAAGCTTGTCTTTCTTCAAAATGTTCTTGCAAATGAGTGCCTTTCAGGAGGCATCCTTTAAAACATCGACAAATGAAACTGGAAATTGGTTTGCAAAGTTGTACTTTAATATGCACTGTTACACACAACAAATCGAGTCCACTGAACAGCTATTAACACTAAAAATATCCTCTGCAAACCCATTCAAAGACTTGACAGTTGAAATCCTAAACCTGAACATAACAGACGATTATTTTTGCTCCGGATCAAAGCTTCCATTGAGATCGCCTTTAAAACACATTGCCATACTGAATACGTGAAGTGTGCCAAGTATTCATAAGGGAAAATTTCATCCCCCAAATAAAAAAAAACCACAACTACAAATATGTACAAAAAGCAATGATAAAAAGCCTTTGCCCTTTACAAAAGTGTTTTCACTAAATTCCCTTCATATTTACAACTAGTTTTATTCTTTTTGGATCATTAACATCTTTTTTTTTTCCTTACTAGAGAAAAGCACATTTTGAAAATGTATTCATTAAGACCTTTATCCAACATGGCACTTAAAAGCTCCGAGGAGGCCCATTGATTGCAATGAAGTCTACTCGTGTGCTCAAAATTACACACGTGTTTAAGTGTCATGCTGGCTCAGACCCCACAAGTTGAGAAGACAAATCACGGATCAAATTCCCAACAAGATAAAGCTTCTTAAGAGCAGTAGCACAGATCGCCACATTGTGCAACTCCGTCTTTGTGCCAACTGGATGACTGAGCCAAGCAGTAGCGGTGCTCGACAGAAACCATACGGCATTAATAAAAAAAACAACCCCCCCCACAAAAGCAAAACCATAAACACTAAAACCATTTAAATGAACATCAAAGTCCAGTCTTTTCAGATGCAGGAATTTTTCTTCTCTGCTCTGTATGACAGATGCCCTACCAAAAATAACTTAACGCTTTGTGCAAGAGAAAATGCTAAATTGTACATTACTCTTTTGAACTAGCTGATTCTATACAGGGCACGGATGATTAATGGTAGGTGATATTAGTGTAAATGCAAGTAGCAGGTGGCTAGAAATGAGAATAGAAACTTTTCACCACCTGGAAGGGGCGGGAGAGGGGACAATTGTTCTGTTTCCTAGCTGATAAGCAAGTGTTATGGTCCTTACCAGCATCCACTATAGGTAGACCTACCAAAAAGAGATTGAAGTCAATGTTATCAAAGCTGAAAGTCAGCCCTAGGGACAGAGGAGGGACTAAAGCCGGTAGAAAAATGTACCTGAGAAACCAGTTTGATTTATTAGCAAGGCTGTGAAAAAAGGATGGGAAAAATATTAGTTTCTGTATTTTAACATGGGGACAGAGGAGCTTACAAATAAGGGGAAAAAACAGCATCTGAGAGTCTCAGGTCTCTGAAAGAGAAGCCTTAGGCAGCTGGATGCTTCCTAAAAGGAAGTGGTGGGGAGGGGAGGGGGAAAGAAATATATATATATTCCCCATCCCCCTTCCCTTTAAGGCTGCTTGATATCTATATCTATATCTATATCTATATCTATATATCTATAGAGATCTCTCTCTATAGATATATCTTTCTCTCTCTCTCTCATATATATATCAAGAAAACCCTGATATAGCTCTCACTCATATCTCCGGTCTGAGTGAGTCTTGCCAGGACCTACAGAAATGCAAATACATGATGCCCCTGCACTTATGCTGGAAATAACAGCCCCCTGCTTGAGGGCGAACACTGGCTGCTGGTTGCAATTTAATTAGCGGTCTTTTATTCCCCACGAAAAACTTGCCTGCCCATTGGTAAATTATTTGTTCTTTCATACACACATTAAGCTCATCACTCACGCCCCATTTCATGTGCAAACATGAGCAGAACAGAGTCCTGTGCCAGGCTTTAAGTAGGACGCTTGAGACCACTGCACATCTTTACCAGCAGCTCCACAGAGCCTTGCCAAGGTGACCGGGGCCTTGCATCAGACTCTTCCAGAGGACCAACAAACGAACTCCACCCTGGCGCGACCACTTCCAATGTGGCAAAGAGAAGTTGCTTGGTATAAAGCATATCCAGCAAAGTGGCTTATGCCAGAAGTGTCTGTATCCCAACCATTTTAATTCACTAATCTGTGACTTCTGACCTACTGAAGAGGAAACACTTTTTGTTTGCTTCTTTAAAAAATAAAGAACATATTGGGAAAGCAGCAAAGAGCAGACGTCCCCCTTCTTGAAGCCTGTCTGGAACATCACATACCAACGTGACAGTGGGTGGTGAGAGGCTCTCCCTGGGAAGCAGATTTTTCCTGGTGAGGATAACCAGTGGCTAGTTCTCAGCTAAGTCATTATAGTAGTTAAAAAAAAAAAAGAGTGAGGGGGCAGGGGGGCTGGGTTTGTTCTAGACTTTTAAGGATGTGTTCTTCCATTGGTCTTTGGTGCACAAGTCACCCACCTTGCTCCTGGTGTTTAGGATGCCATTGGCTCTTCCTCCACTTGCCCTAGTGCCTTTGCAATATTTGGGTTGCTCCATCACATCTTCAGGTCACTAGGTTCTGCTGAATCCCCAGAGCCGCCTGTTTCCTGTATTACGTTCCCAGCGTTGGCAAGATGTCCTGTGTGCTCCTCAGGGGGAGCTGCTTGGCCGTGGACCCCACCTGAGGCTTTGTCTTCCCTTTTTATATTCACATCCTTTGCTTCTTCTTCCAGCCCGAGACCGTCTGCCTGGCTTTTGGTTCCTGGTAGAGTCTTGTTAGGCTGGCTCTTGTCATTCTCTATTTTAGCACTTTCTCTGCTTGCCACCGAGTCGTCCTCTCCTGGCGAGGGCAGGCCAACCTCAGAGCCAGGCAACTCAGCGCTACACAGAGTTTGCACGCTGCTTTCTTGCACAGCTTGCTTCTCCTCACTCGCTTCTTCTTCCTCAGTCCCTTGGCTTACAGAATCTGGGCTGGTTACCTGGGCACTGCAGGGAGAGGCCTCTGCATTCAGATTTATGGCTGTGTTTAAAGCCTCATTTTCTGGTGTCGTCTCATCCACCTTCCTCCTCTTTACAGCCGCATCAGATGATTCAGGCTCCATTAAGCTGTCCGTATCCACACTGTCTTCTTCAGTCATCACTGGGGCATTGCATTTCTGCAAGGCTGGTAGTGGCTCCGTGTTCTCTTGATTGAGAACACATTCTCCTAGATTATGAGAAATCTTCTCAATGTCGGTGGGACTTTTCAATAGACCCGTGCACTTGCTGTTTTTATCCAGCTTTCTTTTCTTGCTTTCCTTTAGATAGTCATTCTCTGCTCTATCCCCCAAACCAAGAGCCTCAGTACCTGGATCTTTCTCTTCTGGCTGGGGCAGCAAGGCTTGCGTCTCTTCTTCAGCGTCTCCTTTGTCTGTAGTGTGATCGTGTTCACTTAACTTCTCCGATTCGTGGTCCTCAGTCACCTTTCTGGTCTGCAAGTCTGCAGCATCTCCAGCTCTCTCTTCTCCATTTAGTTTGCTTTCATCCTTTCCTCCTGCCTCTCTCTTCTTTCCTCTGACGGGCTCCTGCTCTTCTTCAGTCTTTTGGCAGCACTGAGACTTTGATGGCCTACATCTGTACTTCAAGAGCTTCTGATGTGGTCCCCAAACAAACCGACTCTGAGGTTTAAAGTGCTGCCATGCATAATGGATCAGTTCTCTTCTCTTTTGCTTGTTTCGGATGGTGAAGAGGAAATAGTCCAAGGCGCTTCTCTTAACGTTGGGGAGCATCTCATAAAAAAGGGTTTCTCTCAGGAAAAACTTAACCAGACATACTTGATAGTGTTCATACCCCATCTCACCTAGACACTTCAGGATGCGTGTTATCCGCAAGTTATTGTGGCTAAACCTGAGAAAGAATAAACAAAAATAGAGACAGGCAGGAAAATCAAATCGTTAGGGAAAAACTAACACAGCCTAGGCTTACAAAAAACCCAGGCATGGTGAACATTAATAATGTTGGATGGGTCTTTAAAAGCATCTTGAGGGGAAGATCAAGTATATGCCAGCCTGTTTCTAAAGCACCTATTGCTGCAGTATCTACCCATCTATTCTGGTCTTCAACCATGTTCTCCTATCTGTGCTTCAAATGCCCTATTAAACAGCATCACTGATTAAACAGTATCCCAGCTCCAAAAGAGGGCTGCGCCTTCCTCAGGACTAAGACTGTTTCTCACTTCAGAGATCATTTATTAGAAAAGACATTATACACTCATATCTCAACAATGCCACTCACAATGAGCCCAGGGTGGATAAAAAACATTAAAAAAAAATTGGATTTTATTTCAAATCAGATTTTTTTAAATGTAATCATTTAAATTTTTTTTAAAGATGCTTTTTAAAAACATATAAAGTTAGTTTTAAGATAAGTTAAGGCTTAAAGATATAATCATGGAATAGGGATTATAACGTCTAATGATATACTATTTGAGACAATATATTCATGTAACCTTTTTAGAAGTGTTATAAATAGGTCACAACAAGACATGAACTATATTAGGGGCCCAATCTTATGGAGTTCTTAGAGGTTCCTCTATAGATTAGTAAAGATTAAAGGAAACCACTCTACCCAGTGGGACCCAGTGTCCAGTCTAGTAGATCCCATTGAGCATCTCTGTGATGCTTCAGTTCTCAAACTGTGGATTTGTGTCTCCAGAGATCCTAGGCAGACCAGATTCTTTGGGCAGATGTGATATCTTTTAATAGACCAACTAAATAGTTGGAAAAACTGTTCTTTGCAAGCTCCTGTTGTCTCTCTGCAAGTTTGTGTACACACAGTCAAGCCCTTACTTTTCTCTAAAAGTGCAAAGTGTCAAGAAGTTAAATGAATAAAGGATATCAAACAACAAGAATGCACTTTTTGTAGAAGACAACGATTAAATTGCTGCTTCCTGACCAATGATTTAAATCAATTTCATTTAAATCAAATCCACCTCGAACGAGCCTACTTTAGACAGCATGTGCTCAACAAAGGATGTTAAAGCACTTCACAAGTATTAACTGAGCCTTTTAAACACACTAAAAAGTGTTAGTAAGCATTCTTGTTATATACATAATATCCCCCCCCCATAAAAATCACTGGAATTTCTAGTTCCAACCCCAAGTTTCTCACTGTACCTAGAGATTGGTGCCTTTTTGATCTTTCCTTTGATGTTTGAATTTTAAAATTAACACTGAATAGGCTTCTCAGCAATGGTTAGAAAACAGAAAGCCTCCTCAGTATAGAAGAACTGAGTTGTGTGTAAAAGTTGTTCCAATGGTTTCTGAAACCACAGTTGAGAACATTCATTCCTGGCAAACCCTGCAGTAGCTCTATGAGTGTTTATGCTTATATTGCAGGCTCAGGGAGATGAAGATGGATATCACCTTTGGCAAGTATTGCCAAAGCAGTCTCATATAATACATGGCAATCTCAGCTGGGGCTTCCAAACAATGCAAAGGAACAAAATGCTCAACAGCCTGCCGAGTCAATGGCCGGGCTAGGAAAGGAAGGTCCATGCTCTTGAGTAAGTGGCTCTCACCCCTAAGGTCAGACCATGCCGCTCTGGTAGCAGAGGAAACCTCCATACCTGAACAGCCAACCAATTTCCTTGGCTCTGTGCGATCTTTCCTTCTGTTGTAACAGTAAGCATAGGAAAGAGCCACTTAATGCAAATTGGGTCTTACCTATCCAGGTTGCGAAATCTCTCCTCCCAGTTTTCTGCTCTTTCGACTTCCCCAGTTTCTCGATTTGCCAAAGTTATTCCATAAAACCCCAGCATGAGTTCGTACGCTTTTATGAATCTTTGCATAACTTCCTCTGAATTCTTAAAGGCCTGAAAAGTACAAGAGATGGAATTTGCACTTAAGGCAACCTAAAAAGGGTTGGAAACCACCTGCATTAGTTCGTTAAGGCACTTCTCAGTGATATGTTATACACATAAGTGCATAATATTTAAGACACCTATTGGGGATGTTCATTAGCCACGTCGCCAAGCACATGATCTACTGCTTAAGGCATTGGAAGAGGAACTGAAGAGTCAAAAGCTGCATTTAAACAGCCACTGGAGACAGCTCTGGTCTTATTATATGCTGAGGGCACGTGGGGAAAGCAGTGGAGCAACCTTACCATTTGGGAAGAACTTTACCTAGGAGAACCCTCAGTACCTGCCAAGTTTAAAAGGTTTGAAATAAAAAGTTGTACCTGGATTTCTTTACACGTGAGGGGCTTTGCCTGCCAATTCATCCCACGTTCACGCAGCGGAAACAACCTGGAAGGGGAAGAAGATTGGCAGATCAGATTGAAGAGGATATGAAATGCAACCCAAGAGTTCGTGCTCCATAACAACAGGTTTCCACTGTGAGGTGCATCAACAGCCCAAGCACTACGGAGGCCAAACGTCCTCTTAAATAGGACATAACTTTGTATAACTACACAGGGAACTTAATCCATAACAGACTATTACACTGCAAGAAATCACTGCACCCACGTGTACTCTGAGCAGTCTTTTTTAGCCATCTGGATATTCAACTGATCTATCACCACAGTGTCCGTGTCAAAGGTACAGCAGCCAGGCACAGAAGTCTGCATACCATTGTACAGGAAATCTTTAACTTCAGGATACCCAAAGCCTTCTCAATCTCATGGGAGCATAATGGACTAAAAATCAATTTAACCATTCAGAATGAATTGGGAGGCAGGCTGACACTGTTCCATGATGACAACGCCAGCGGTAGCAAACATATGTGATACACATCTGAAGAAGATCCCTAAATAGTCATTTCCTTGTGTAGCAACTTTACCATTGTATGTAGGAATGGTTTTCTTCCAGCATCTCATAATCATGGCACCAATCTTTAAGGAGGGTGTCAATATATACACCTGGGGTGACAGAAGAAAATGCATCAAATGAGAACGTTTAGAGTTAACTGACTAGCTGCAATAACGTCAATTCTATCTTTCCTCAGAGATCATTTTTTCTAGACTTCTGCTCACTTTTTAAATTATTATTTGCTCTTCTCTGAATTCTCCCCTGTTAATCCACATCTTTCTTGAAGTGTGGCACCCCAAACTAGACTCTGGTAAGGCAGCGTTGATAGACTTGACCTGTCTGACACCCAAATGATCCTGTTTATGCAGCTCAGCACAGACAAATGCACATTTTAGTATCTTTTAAGAGGGTGCGGGGCTGCTGCTTGGGTATGCACATGACCTGCTATGCTGTAACTGTTACCGCTGGATGATACTATAGAGATACAACCTAGCTCAGTCACCCTAACTTTGATCCTGGAGGAAGAAGACTCTAAAGGCCCATCAGGTTTGCTACAGTTGTATCATTATAATAACATGCAGATGTAGCAGTTGCATAGTAACAGCTGGTAGCTGCAGCCTCTGATAGTGATGTAATTGGTAGGACCATGCTATCCTCCAGTACAGCATCTGTTTTTTTTTTTGGCGACAGCAGGACATTGTTGACACATCTTCAGTCTGTGGCCCATTGCATCTCCCAAGATAGTTTTCCACAGAACTGTTTTGCATTTGATAAGAAAAGGTAACACTCTGCACTTGTCCTTACTAAATTATATCGTATTTATTGATTTTTCTAAGATTATTTCAAAAGGAAATCCCATTCTCCAAAGTAACTGCAAGCCCTTGAATCCTGGTATCAGATCTGAAAGCTTTGATAATGGAATAGAAGGTAGGCTTACTACGTCATTAATAATACTGGGCCCGGGGCAGACTGCTGAGAAACGCCATCCTTGTAGTTACAGCAACCTACCGAGAACTACTCTTTGACTATGGATTTCCAACCACTGGTGCATGCATCTTCAAGTAGGTTTAGCTGAACCACATCTTACTAGGCTATTTGTGAGAATGAAGGAAATCAGCTTGGTTTGTCCTGGTTTGATCTTAACAAATAGACTATTAAGGGATGCATGGTTTCTCTAAGACATGCAATAGAAACAAAAGATAAAAAACAACTAAGCAATTGCTTACATTCTGTATTGTAGGAATAGAAAACCCTGATTGCATGCAACTATTGCAACCACTGAGGTAGGTCACAGGATATTGCTTGGGTAGACCGAGCACAGCGCTGGGAACTGACATACGTATTATTTTCCCTCTACCAATTCATTGTGAGCTCCCGCATATTAAAACTGCATTGTCCAAGGGAAGCCCAGGTGAGATACATACCACGAGGCTTAAAGTTAATTTCGTTTTTGTAAAAACTCAGATTCCACATCTCTTCCTCTTCCTCATCTGCTTCTGATTCTTCTAAACCCTGCAGGCAAGACGAGTGTTAGCAAGAAGTAAATGCCACAGGTACATAAAATATATTCCCTTGGATCCTTTTATCTCCCTACCAAAGTCTGAGAATACCAGTGTATTGGTATTCAGTGTTTTTTTCTGAGCTGGCAGGGGCAATGGGTGCACCTCATTGACTGGAGTGAAATAAGTGAATTACTTAAAAGTGAAGTTTTCCTTTCTACCAGCTTCAGGTAAATCAAACACCACACGAAAGTCTCACAAATTGCTCCCCAGGTCCCATGAAGAAAAAAGAAAGAAAATTCATAAGTTCCCAGGCTGTACCGGGTAATGGTGCCTGTATCTCTGCAAGTCCTTCGCTGCTCTCCAGTTACGTCCAGCTGAGAACTGAAGGAAAAAGAAAAAAAGACAAATCAAAAATCTGGAGGAAAAGCCTCTCATCAGAAGGAAAAACCAAACTCAAACAAAATTGTTCTTCCCCATTTCCTCTAGGTGAGCTGGCTGTCAACGATGCTGCAAATCAGCGGTTCCCAAACTCTCGGCAGACTGCGCACCACCAATTTAAACTTATACAAACCCTAAGTACCACCGGCAAATTTATTGTCATATAAAGTCATTATCCTAAATCTGTTCACATGCATCACTGGTGGTACGTGTACCACATATCGGGAACCGCTGCTGTAAATCCCCTGCAGTCTAATGTGACAAGGCTCTTAGCTCAAACTCAGTGCCTGCAAACATCCCTCTCCCACCCCATCATAATCCTCCACACCGGTCTGAAATCCCACCTCCCCAGGGCGCGCTCCCATCTTACTTTAGCTGTTTCACTGCACTCCTGTGGGCCAAGATGCCTACACGTCCTCTTCTGTAGCAACGCAACTCACGTTCTTTCCTAGTCTTATTAACCAGGACCAGACTACAGAAGCTCATTTGAACCCAACTTATGCCAGGGACTGAACTGTTGCTACCCAGCTTTAGGAGAGAAAGGCCAAACCCTACAAATATCATCACTGGATGTGGGGACATGAAAGGATGAACAGAACAAGGCATATATCCGAGGCCTTGTCTAGGCTAGGAATAGAGGTCTGGGATTTCTTAAGAAATGTTTTTCCCCACCTGTATGGGGGGTTAAGGAAACCCCCATACAGTGTGGCAAGATATCATTTGCCTTCTTTACACACATTTAATAGAGCATGTTCTCATAAGCCTTTCAATAGGTATCTTAGCAGGATTGTCTCTGCCTTTGAGCTCTGCTGGCCCAGACTCTTCCACAGCTAAGAGCAACCTTCTGTTGTGGAAGAGAAGCAACTGTGGCATCTTGTGCAAAGGCAGGTAAGGCAGTGAGGGGTCAACAGACGTTTTTTGTTTCACTTTCTTCCCATAATGACCATCATTGTCTTTTCAATCAAGCAAAGCTTTGTTTGAACCCTACCTCAAAACCTCTCTGACTCAGGTATGGTACATTTGTTCTTCTTTGCTCCTAAAAATAAAAGAGGTACTTTAATGAGAAACTTAAGAACAGTGCTATTGAAGCCAAACTTCAACAGTAGTTAAAAAAAACAGTATACAGATTGCTACTAATTAACAGGTGGCAATGTTTTAATAATTCAAATCACTGGAGCAACGCATTCTACTCATTAGGAAATTACTTTGTCCTTTTAATCATCGCTAAAATAATCCACAGACAAGTTGATACCCAATTCTTCTCTCCATGATGGTGATAAGATCTAAGGCAAGTCGATTAAAATGACAGTGGCGCATAAACAGGTGCAAGAACCAGGCCCCGGAGGTCTGCGACATGTTCATCAATTTAAGAATATTTAGACAGAATCGCTGGAAAAAAAAACAGAAAAGAAAAGCTGCGTTCCCTCCTCTCTGCACCATATGGAAGTAGGAGTTAGGACACTGGATTTTTTATTTCTGCCTGGATGGCAAAGAACTGCAAATAGGTGCAATCTGGCAGGGTGCCAAGTGTTGTGGCCTCAGTCCATCAACGTGCATCATCAATAAGGACCCGAGGGGTCTCACTGAGGGCTTCTCGTGCACCAAAAGCCTTCCTGGTCCAAAGCAGATTGTACTGCAGAACCACACCGGTACCAGTGGAGTCTGGATTAGACAAGTACTTTGTGGATCAGGGACAGAGGACTCCACATCCTGGAAAATGAGCACTCCAAGGTCAGATAAAAGGTAGATAGACACATACACTCACACACACACACACACAGAGTTGCTGAATACAACTACTTTCCGTCTTCTGTCTGAAGGGAAAACCCTGACACACCGAATCAATGGGGGAAAAAGATCACTTTCCCTGTTGCATTACTAGGGTAGAACTAGACTTTGTACCAAGTAGCTCACAGCCAAGTGTTTTGTCACTCCAGTCCCAATTATTATTTTTTTTAGTAATACAAATACTGAACATCAGTCTTTCATGTATTGTGCATGCCGATGTAAGGCATCTTTAGAAAAACTCCCCCAAGGACCAAAACCATAGATAAAGCAACAGAGGACCCCCTCCCCCCACAAAAACCCAACACCCACCCCAAAACAAAAACCCCTCTTGCTGTAAACCAAGGGCGGGCAATTATTTCAGGAGGCGGATTCGCTTACTGAGTTTTGGCAAGCCGTCAAGGGCCACATGAAAGGCAGCCAGAGGCAGGTAAATATTAATTTTCTAAATTTTTTAGGGGCCCCACGGGCCGGACAGAATGGCCTGGCAGCCGCATTTTGCCCACCCCTGTTGTAAACCCTTCCCACACACTCCCCCAATAAAGTAAAGGTGCTAACCAGACAGAACTGGAACTTCCTTTGGTACTTGATAAATCCCCAAAGCAGAGGATTGTTATTTCCATTTGACATGAGATGACACAGACTGTGGGGCTTGCCCATGACCATACAAATCAACACCCTTACAGGGTTTAGATTTCCCAAAATCTGACTTTGGAGTATCAGTGACACTGCATACTTGTAAGAGCCTCCTTTTCAAAATGTGCTGTCAGCTAGGGAGGTAAGTACTGTTCTTTGCTTGAGTTGTAAGTGGAGACCGTAATTTAGCTTTATGAATCCTATGCATGTTCTTGGTTATATGGTCTTTGAACTCCAGGTGTTAAATCCCAATCCTACTAGGAATTTTGCCTTTGATACCGGATAAACTAGGAGTCCCAGCCAAGCATCTTGTTTGTACCGGGCCTTCTAGCATCCACGAGGGCACTGGCCTCCAACAAAACAGCCTGTCACAAACTAACAGAAGATGCACTCCAATTCCAGACTAGGGTCAAAGCAAAAGGCAAATGGGGATTGGAGACACGTACAAAATATGCAGAAGCCAGACCAAGTCAAGGAGCAGAAGTGCAGCAAGATGTACTGAAAAGCAGCTGGATCCAAGAGGAAGAGCCCTAGGAGAAGAGGACCAGACAAAGCACGCTGGGTAAGTAGTAGGCAACACACATTTCATGTCAGATAGACTGTCCTAAGAAGTTTGAGGATCTCCTCCCAGCCCAAGACCACAGACTCCAGGAACAAAATCTATTTCTGTCCACACCATGCACCGACGTGCATCTCTTGACTTGTGCATCCGCCCACCCCGTTCCAATATCACCACCACGGTAAGCCCTGCACCCTGGTGCGAAGAGCAAGTGAAAAATCAGAGAACAGGGTCAGAGGATGAAAGGCATGATGGAGACAAGCAACGTCTGGCTGAGAACTGGAAGCCGGCCCCAAAAAGAGAGATGACACAATGTGCAGGCAGCAGCAAGACTCACAGACAGACAAAGGGCCCACAGCATATTAGGAACAGAAACCCAAGCAAACAAAGCCTTAATCCCTACCAAAATTACTTGCAGACTAGAGAATGCAAAATAAATCATTTGTGTTATTAGAAGGAAGCCCTGGTACAGAACACGAGGGCTGCTACTCTATGGGAAGCTAAGCAAGTGTTTTTTACAGAATGAGACTAAATCTAAAATATCAGATCGGGGTGGAGTCGGAGGGGGGAAGGAATGCAGATATTTAATGGAAAAGGCATATATTTAGAGGCGTTAAGACACAAGCAATCTGAAGAGACATATCCACAGTCATCTCCACTTAACGACAGATACAATTTGAGATTTAGTTTCAGCCAGTTGTTCGAAAATGCAGATTTAAAATAAAAAGAAAGCTCTACCTGTCCATTGGAAAGACCAAGAGGATCCCCAAAAACCTCAGACAGCTTCCCAAGCAAAGAATACAATCTAGACTGAAGAGAAATGAAGCTAAATTAGTTTAACAGAGGCAGGGGGAAGCCAGTTTTATAGAAAGATTGGTGCTGTTACCGAGTTGCAGATGCATGTATTAAGTTTACAGCAAGAAAATAACATTCTCTGTTGGTCTAAGTGTCCTTCCAAGCCCCTCAAAGATAACTGCAAACCTCATCTGGAAGGAGATGACAATACATTTATGAAAGAAGAGTTAATGTGTTTAAAAGGCATTGATATTTCTGGTGACAAGTGTGGATTCAAGACCTTGTGCACTGTTATCAACCATCCTTTTTTTAAAAAAAAAAAAAAAAAAA